GAAGGCTTTAGAGAAGTCGAGAAGAACTAGTATGGTGACCTCCTGACGGTTTATTGCCTCTCTAATGTCCTCAGTTACGCCAAGAAGAGCGGTCTGAGTGCTGTGTCCCCTCCTGAAGCCCGATTGACGAGGATCTAGTAGATTATTGGATAAGATGAATTTAGAGAGCTGTGAGGATAAAATACGTTCAAATGCTTTTGAAAGTTCGGAAAGAGACGCTATGGGACGCGTGTCAGATGGGGAGGAGGGGTGACGTACTTTAGCCAGGGGGAGCAACAGGGCACTCTTCCAAAGGGTAGGGAAGTGCGAGTGTTGTATTAAGCTATTGAATAGAAATGTGAAAAAGGGTAGGATGAAACCGAGAGTAAGGCGAAGCATTGAGTTCGATATACCATCATGTCCAATTGCTTTAGATGAGGATGTGGTGATGGTGTGGAGAATTTCGTCGGATGTTGTGGGTTCGAAATGAAAGACTGGTGCCGAAGAGTGAGGAGAAGGGGTGCGAAGTAATGTATTTAAGTTGAGTGAAGTGAGAGGTGAAGTAGAAGCAGGGACGATGGAGTATGTAGAGATAAGAGTATCCGGGGAAAAAAGCTGAGTGGGTGATGGAAGGTTTTGACTGGTGAGGTTGAGTTTTCGAATGGCGGTCCATTTATCTTTTGAGTTTCGTGATGAATTTATGAGGTGAGCGAAGTGGGAGTTTTTTGCAGTGGAGAGACTATTCGATACCCTGTTGCGGAGGCGGCGATAGCGCTCAATGTCTGTAGATAGGCCAGACCGTCTGGCTTCACGATACGCCCTGTCTCTCACCAACATCATGTTCCTGATCTGATGAGTGACCCACGGCTTTCTACGCGATGACAAGGTGATCCGTCTGTTTGGAGCCAGTCTGTCAAAGGCTTCAAGTATAGTGGTTGAGAAAAGAGTAGTCAGAGTGTCGAGAGATTGCGGGTTTGGTTGAGTGCATGAATTGATTAGAGATGAGAGGGACGGAGTGATATGGAATGAGAGTGCTTCAGAGTTTATGTGTTTGAGGTTTCGGGCCGTAATAGTTTTGGTGATACTTGGTATATGGAGAAAACGAAGGGTGATTTCGATCCAGTCATGACCGGCTATGAAGGGGGCGGTGGACTGTTGGTAGCGAATTAGCGAGGTTGGGTCTTTTATAATAAAGATGTCTATCCAGGTGTGCGATGGGTTATTGCGGTAGAAGGCATGGTGTGTTGGATTGGAAGGAACCAGGTGAAGGGAGTATTCTGAGATCTTAGTGGAGAGAAACTGAGAGGAGAAGGATGAAGTGAGCATGTTGATGTTGAGATCACCAGTGATGATGATATTAGAGTAAGCCGGTAGATGATCTGAGAGTATGTCAAAAAAGTGGTGTGGAAGAGATGCTGCGGGGCGTCGATAGACAATGGCCACAAGTGTTCTGTGCTGAGCCACAGCTATTTCGAGGATAAGGAATTCTGGTGTGTTATCAAATTCAGGGTCCGAGCTGGCAAGAATTGTTGTCTTGAGGGAATCCCGAATGTAGGCGCCAACACCACCCCCCTCTTTCCCTGCTCTGTCAACCCGAAACAGGGAGTATCCTCGGATGCCGACAACCTCATCCAGCGTGTCTGGCGTAAGAAAGGTCTCAGTGACCGCAATAACATCCGGGGACCTGTCAGCAGCTAAAAGTTCGAGTTGTGTGTGATGTGGATGGTTGAGACGATTTATGTTGGCGTGGATGACAGTGATGGAGTTTGTTGATTGATGAAGGGGGGGAGCGTGATTAGCTGTGTTTAGTCATTGTTGGGGTGGGGCAGGTTGGGGAGGTAGACGGGCAAGATCTTCAATCGAAGAGATGGGTATGGGATCGGCTGAGCGGCTAGGGCGCATAAAGACACGTAAGTCCCTGACTATCGGTGGCAAGTAACCAAGGCGCCGCTGTGCCTCTCTGGAGAGAGAGAAAAAGAAAAAGTCGAGAGGTACGGGCTGTGGTTGCAGCGGGACGGGCTGAGTGAGTCTCGAGTCGAGAGCCTTCACGCTCAGAGTAGCCAGAGATTTATGAGCGAGAGAGAGAGAGAGAGAGAGAGAGAAAGTGCGAGAGAAAATTGTTGGCCGAACGAGAGAGAGAGAGAGGGAAGAGAAAGCTGCTGTGTCCCCGTCGTCGGAGACCATCACCGCGAGGAGGAGACCCAGGACGAGAAGAAGAGCGACCGCAGGACGGACTCACCAGCAGCCCGAGGCCCAGCAGGACGCCATACGCCGTTGCCGCGAGTCAGTGAGCCGAGAGGTAGTGTGTTTTCCCTCCGTTTTTTTTGTGCGTCGTGCTAGGGCTCGCGAGCGCCGGTAGGGCTCCGGGACTAAGTCCTGGAGTATACAGAGGACTGAGAGAGAGAGAGAGAAAGAACCAGGTTACCGGAAGTGGCGGGTGCATGCTCGGGAGTGCCGAATCTTGGGGGTGTTCGCGCGTTTTCGCTCTAGGTGTGTAGGAAGAGAGAGAGAAAGAGAGAGGACCGGGACTAGGGACGGAAGGGGATAAGGAGCAGGTTACCGAGAGACAGTGATAGTGTGAGAGAGAAAGAGACAGGGTGAGAAAGGTTAACACGGGACGAGAAGAAAGGGGCGCGATAGCAGAGGGCAGGTGTGTAGTGGGCCGGGAAAGGACAGGGACGAGAGGTTGCGTGTGAGGGTGCGCGTGTGTGTGCGTGCGTGACGTGGCTGGGAGCGTTAGGGCAGCGGTCCCTCCTGGTCTCAGGACCCCGAACGTGCGCTCGCGGTTCGCGCGGCGAGGCGGAACCGCTGTAGCGCCGTCGAGGAGTTGTGTAGAGCAGTGTGGAGAGTGCAATAAACGATTTCCTTACTTGACGCAGTAGCATTTCCCAAAATTATTTTCTCTCGGTAGAACGAGAGGAGAAATCCCGTACAACTCCCCTTTTCAGGAGCAGAATTCAAGAGGACGAGGGACCCGGAGGACGTACGAGACGAGGCATCCACTTCCTACGTACCCCCCCCCCCTCCTTTTTATTTCCAGGTACAAAGGCAGTGTTACAGTATCAGTGAATCCACTAATTAAAACTTCAAATTCTTTCAGCAGATGTTCGTTTTTAATTGCTCGTACGAGTCGTGTGGAGTCGAACAAGCAATTATGTGCCACAAAAATACACCTTTTTCCAAGATTTTTCAAGAAATCCAAGATCTTTATGAGAACACTTCGCAAAGGTATAGTGGGAACTTCTTGTCCATGCTGGAAAAGCTTCTTATGAGTTTTACTTAATCCGTTAACTTTTGTTGCTGCAGGATTTATGGCCTGTGTAGGAGTGATAAAAGAATTGAAATCAAGTTTACTGCATTTTAACGATATTTGTAAAATATCATTGTATAAATTGAATTCACCAGTTTCTATATAAAAAAATACAACAATTAAGTCATCGGTTTCAAACTTGTACGTACTACTTATGGGAACAGGCATATAATTTTTACTCGAACTGGTAGATTCTCCCAGTAGCCCCATGTTGCTTTTGTACATTTCTTCCTCAGAGTTTTCTTTTCGGTTCCTCAACTGAGATTTCCTGGCTTTGACTTGTAATCTATTTTTTTTTAAACTAGGTTGACTAGATTTTTCTTTTTTGCTCAATGAAATCTTTTCTAATAGTCTCACGTACTTACTTAAAAAAGAGCCACATCTTATTTTTAAAATTTTTAGAGTTTGTGTGAGATAAAAATTTTCCAAATTTTTTTGTGCTTCGGTTGCTGCAAAGCGATAGTCAGCAGACTCAGTAGTGCAGTATGCAACTGCTTTTGGATTTTTACTGCACATGGAGTAATTTAAGCTTTCATTAGCTTGACTACTTGCTGCGCTAGCAAATTTAATAGCATTTTCAGCCAATTGAGAAAATAGTTGTTGTAAGTGCTCAAATAATATTGTATTTTTTAGTCTTATCCCTGCAACATTTTCTTTGTTGTTTTGGCACCAGTCCTTGCAATTATTATGCTAATTGAATAGATAGTGTGGTATATTTCTTAGGGCAGCTTGAATTCTAAGCACATCTCCTGTGTTTTGGTGCACAGCAAAAGTGAAACATCGTTGTATGTGTTTGATTACATCACCAGATAATTCTTTATCTGGGTCTGAAGCAAATTTTTTTTTAATGTTATGCAGCATATTATCTACACCTTTAGTAGAATGATTCATATCAGCCTGTTTCAGAACTGTATAATTACTCGCAGCTTGTATGGAAGAAATGGAGCAACTATCATTGTCACCAATGAACACTCGAACTTGAACATTGGCATGTTTTAATACTTCACTCTTCGTAATCAGTTGGACTGCTCCATCGGCTTCCATAGCTTTAGCACTACCGTTGAAGTTTAGCCTACAGTCATGCTCTTTAAGTATTCCGGTAAGTGATTGTTTATCGCAGACTCTACATTTTCTATTTCTAGTACAGTAATCTAATACTTTTTTTGTTTGCAAGCCAATAAGTGCACAATATCCATTCAAGCTGTCGTATGTAAAACCATTCCCTCGTTGGCTCCATCCCATGTCGTAAGAGGAAAAACTCTTACTATTGGATTTTCGCTATTTGATCCATCGGTGTTTACGACTAAAAATCCTTCTTGCAAATCGGGAGGTCTAGGAAAACAATGGATGAACATTGAAATGGGATACCAAAGGAGTGGTTGTGAAAATTGTTTATATTTTAGTTAAAATTAAACAAAGGTTTAATTTTAAGTAAACTGTCATTACATCACATACTAGTTATTAATATAGTTCTTATTTAACAACGAAGTGAATTTGAGTAAAAATCAAGCTTAACAAAATTGATTGATTAAAAATTGTTTTGTGTAAAAATAACAACAATGTATAGTTAAAAAAATAAAGTTACTTATGGCTCTAAAAACTTATTAATTAATACAACTGCAACTACTGTAACTTACAATAATTTTGTTACATCTTCTATATTCTCTATGGTAAGAATTCTTTCCATGACCGTAGCTTCACTGCAGCTCGTTTAAGCAACCTGCTTTATGACGGGTCCAACGATTCTCTCATGAAGCTTAAAAGTATTAGATGACATATCTGGTAGATTCATAGTTCCACATAGTTTGCTCAAATGCACTTGGCCAAGTCCACTATGAACTGCTCCTTAAATTGACAAAAAAATAATAAATTGATAAGTAGTTGTGTAACTTACATTTTAAATTATTTATACGATAGTTGTAGTTTTAAGTAAAATAGTTACCTAATGCTGCTTGAGCATTGATAGAAAATAATGCATTTCCACTGAATGGACTTGTAAATTCTTCTCCGCTCTTGACTGAATTTACATACAAACATGACTGACAACGGACATAAAAAATCGAAGCTAAGCCCATCTGTGTCTCTTTTTCAATATTTTGTAAAAGTAATTTTTCTTTGCACATTAAACAAACCATTTGTTTTGACATGTACTGAAGATTGACAATTCTGTTACCGTCAACAGAATACGTTTCATCACAACCAGCCTTTTCGTTAGAATTATGTACTCGTTCTTTTCTTCTGTCGAGTCCATTTTGACGACGTTGTAACATTGCGTTATAAACTTTTTTTGTTACGAATTTTCCTTTCCATCGGTACATCACTGTTTTGGTTATGCGTATGAAAAAATAAAAAATAAGACAACTCGCATGACAGGTATTATAACTCAGGGTTGCAACTTCGAAGTGAAAAAATTGAGTAACGAGTGCTGTTGCCACGTTTCCATGCTCCAATTCCTAAATAAATTGACTCAATGAATGTATTTTATATTCCTTACGAAGATTGTCAACATCATTTAGTAATGTTTTTAAACAATATTAGATACTATAACCTGTACTATGTGCACTAAAGAATAATAACTTCGCATTTAAATTTATATTTTAGAAGTTAGCGTCCATACATTTTCCCTATGTTACAGTACAGGTCCCCCTTACCACTTCCCCCGCAAAATGATCCTCTTGACCATCCTTAATTACTGATTAAATAAATATAGCAACGCAAGTGCCCATTACTACGCAGCCCAGGGCGCTTTCTAGTTGCTGTAATAATTAATAAAATTTATAAATTGATAACGCTAGCGCAAATTGCTTTACAACCTCGGGCGTTTACTGGTCGCTGTAATAATCAATAAAAGTTGTTAATTAAAAACCCAAGAGCTAATCCCCACATAACCAAGGGCGCTAACTGGTTGCTTAATAAAGTAATAAAGTTTATTGATCAATAACGCAAGCGCCACTTACCACTTAGCCCAGGGCACCTACTGGTCGCTCTAATAAAGAATAAAATTTATTAATTAATAACCCAAGTGCCAATTACCACACAACCCAGGTTACTTACTGGTTGCCGTATAAATTGATAAAACTTATAAATTAATCATGCAAGCACCAATCAACATACATTTTAGAGCACTTACTAATCACTGTACCAAAAAATGAAATTCATTAATTATCAACGCACAGGTCAACCGAGACACCACCCAGGGCGCTTTCCGGTTGCTTTATTAAATGATAAAATAAATGAAGTAAATCAGGTACCAATCATCACACAACCCGGGGCCCTAACTGTTTGCTGTATCAATCAATAAAATTCGTTAATTAATAACGCAATCGCCAATTACCATATAAGCCGGGGCACCTACTGTTCACTTCGATTATAGATAAAAAAAGTAGAGTAACGCAAGCGCCAATCATCACTTAACTCGGGGCGCTTACTGGTCACTGTAATATTCACTAAAATTTCATAATTTATGACGCAAGTTCTAACCACTACAAAAAACGAAGCACTCAGTGGTCTCTTTATGAATTAATCAAATAAATATATTATCAAAAACACCAAGCACCACACAACCCGGGTCATTTAAAGGTAACTGTTATGATTAATGTAATTTGTAATTCAATATCGCAAGAGCCAATCAACACACAACTTAAGGAGCTTGGTCGCTTTATTTAATAATAAAATAGAAATATAATAATGCAAGTGCACGATTGCCAAATAACCCAGGGCACTTACAAATGAATGTAATAATTAATAAAATCANTGACCACACAACTCAGGGCGCTTACTAGTCGCTATTATAATTAATAGAATTTTTAAATTACTAAAGCAAGCGGAAATGACAACACAACTCAGGGGACTTATTGATTGCTAAAATAATTATTAAAATTTTATACTCAATAATGCAAGCGCCAGTCAATACACAACTTCGAGAGCTAACTAGTTGGGTTTATAGATAATAAAATTTATTAACAAATAACGCAAGCGACATTCACAACACAAAACAACACACAACGCTTGCTAGCCACTTTATTTATCAATAAAACAAATATAATAACGCAAGCGCCAATTACCAGACAACCTTAGGCGCTTTCTTGTCATTTTGATAAATAATTAGTAAAATTTATTATACGACAACGCAAGCGCTAATCACCACACAACCCAAGGCACTTAGTGGTCACTGTAATAATAAATAAAATCTATGCATTTACAACGCAAGTATCGATCGCCACACAATCTGGAGCGCATAGTGATCAGTTTAATAGTAAATAAAACTAAATATTTAGTTACATAAGCCCGAATCACAACATAACCCGAAGGGCCAAATAGTCGCTAGGATAATTAATAAAATTCATTAATCAAATACGCAAGCGCCAATTACAACACGACTTATGGCGCTAACTGGTTGCTTTAATAATTTAAAAAATTAATTGTAAAACAAGCGTTAGTTACCACAAAACCTGAGGTACTCACGAATCGCTGTAATAATCAATAAAATTTCTTTATCAGTAACGCAGCCCGGGGCCCTTAGTGGTCACATTAATAACTCATAAAACTGAAAAGTTAATAATGCATTGGCCACCTACCACATGACCCAGAAGGCTAACTGGTCACTGTAAAGAATAATAAAATTTATTGTACACTAACGTAAGCGCAAATAACCACACAACTTATGGCTTCAACTAATTGCTTTGAGAATTATTAAAATTTAATAATAAATAACTCAATCGACATCCAACCTAAGGCACTTCTCGACTGCTTTGATTATATGTTAAATAAATATTATAACGCCAGCGCCAATCACCACATAATCTGAGGTGCTTACAGGTTACTTTGAGTATGGTCAAGAGGTATACAAAGATGCAGAGAACTTACTCAAAATTTATACCCTTACAGTTAAGCTCACTAAGAACGTTCCTGAATTTTCTCAATATTTTATATGGTTCATTTTTGTATTAAAAAATACTGCAAGATCGGATCCGGGGGGAGGTAAGTTAACCCATGCTTCAATGGTAAACACGTATACAGTTTTCGCAAAAACAGTTTTTGCAGGTTGAAAAATGCAAAGATTAGTTCAAAAAAATTATATTGATAAAGTCTAATAATAAGGGATTAATTTGTCATCTTAAAACACACATGTTATGGCCTATTGTATAAAGAATTTTAATAAATAAGCTCATACTTTTTGAATCCGCGAGAGCATTGTGAACTCTAAGCGAAAACGCTGGCAACATATGATTATATATATGTATACACTTTATAGTACATGCGCCGGATGGATGTCATCTAACCTTGTCTGCTACGTGCGACAGTGCGACTTCTGCAAAGTGAACAAAGCCTCCTCTGACAGCAAGAAAGCTCCCTTCAAACGTTTATTACTTAAAAATTGTATATAAAGTTTAATATTTTGTTTGTTTATCCTTTGCAAAATGATATTGAGTATACCACGTGAAAAAGTATAAATTGATTCAGCAATAAAAACAATCAACAGTAAAAGGTATTATTTATTCAGACCATGTTTTGCAGCAACAAATGCAGATTTTTAATTTGAACATCAGATTTTTTATCAATTATCACTCACAATATATACACTTACATAAAAAACATATTTACTTTAAACTTTATAAGTATTTTACAATATCTTTCAACTTTTTTTTCGACTTGATAATACTACTTTCATTTCCATGAAGACCTTTTTGTAGTAAATGTTGAGCTTCGGTGGCTCCTTTGATTTTGAAAGTCTCAACAATATTTTCATAACTGATACCAAAACTTGCTATCTTTTTTATTAAAGAAGTACTCATTACGCATTTTAATGGTGCCAATGAAGGTAACAGCATTCTGGTAGTTTCACTTTTTTCTATATTTGTTATTACATCTGTGTAGGAGATTATATTCTTTGTTATATCATCAACTGTCAGGTAAGCATTGCTTAGTTGTTCTAACAAACTAACGTCGAACTGTGCATCATGTGCACTATCACAGCATACAGCAAGAAGTTCAGTGGCTAAGATGGTGAGTTTGTCACCATTCTCTCTATTAGAAAGTTTTTTTTAAAATAAGTTCAATGTATTGTAACGAGGCAAATTGAGCCTCCCGGCTCATGTCGCTCTCGCTGACGCAACGCGTATTACGTCACCGGCAAACGCTTACCTTCCCGGAATTATTCTTTTGTTTTGGCTTCCGAAAAAAAAAAGGAGAAGAGGACGACTCAACGCGGGACACAGCAGCAACAGCGGCGAAAATACACGCGGGAGCGCGCGCAGCACTGTTCGGGTCGCGGCGTCGGCCCTCGGGTATGAGAGTGTTTAGAGTGTTTAGAGTGTTTATTATGCCTTGGGGAAGACCCCCATCTAGCCAGAAAAGTATAACACAGTAAGATAAGCAGACTTAAAACTAATTTCAATAAGCTAAAATTGTAGCGTGCAAACAAATTACAATAAGAGAGCAAGGTGTGAGATTACAAATTGAAGAGTTAATCAGACTTGAGCGCAAGGCAAATAAATGTAAGCCACTTAAAACTAAAAATAAAAAAAAAGGTATAACAATATAACAAGGTAAATTGAATGCGTGAGAAAGCTAGCTTGATTTGCGGAAGGATGTGAGGGCAAGGGAGATGCGAAGGAAAGGCGTTTAGAAGGTTGTGGGATGCGAGAAGGCTAGAGTAGGCTAACAAAAGGAGAGTGGTGAGTGAGGATGGTTGGTGGTTGGGGAATTAAGAGGGACAGGAGGAGGGAGTTATGTGCAGAGGAGTCAGGTGGGGAGAGAGCAGGTGAAGGACTAGGTGCTGAGGTAGGCGAGATAAAGTGAATGATGGTTGGTGCAAGGAGGAGTCATTAGATGCAGGATGTCAGAGTTGGGCTATGGTGTCGTGTATTATGTGTGATGGGAAAGGTCAACCACGTCAGAGCGTCCGCTGTTAATTTGAGGTCAAGGTTGAAGCACTGTTTACGCTAAGCGAGCACAATTCCCTCCCGCTCAACACGTTCGATCCACTCGCTCTGGTCGCGCTGCAAGAGGGTATTATGGAGTAGGATTTGGAATGATGAGTATGAGTGATCGGCAAGGTTAATTGGTGAAAGTGAATTCAGGAGATCAGATGCTTGAATATAGAAGGAATCGTCGCGAGCACGGGTGCGGGAGGGAGGGACGATGAGCAAAGGTTGTGGGCGGCGAAGGGTGCGGGAACTAGTGACTGAGTGGGGAGCAAAGCGAAAACGATCAGCGAGGTATGTAGGGCAATGAAGGCGGATTATGTTGAAGGCAAGACACCCCAAGTGGTATTCACGTCTACGTCGAGCAGAAAGCCAGCCCAGTTCCAATCGTAATGGTGTGATGTGAGCATCTCTCGGAATATTGCCGGCCACGAAGCGAACACAAGCATTAATGGCTCTCTGCATTTTTAAATTGCGTGTGACGTCCAATCGAAAGAAGACCGATGAAGCATAGTCCAGGTGCGGAA